TGCAGTTGTATATATATATATATATATAAAGTGGTACAAACTAATTACTAGAATTTCACTTCTAGGGCTTGCATAACAATTATTGTCATATTTCTATCATAAGCATGTTTGATTTTAGATCTCAGGTATGATTTTTTACATCTTAGATATGATTTGTTTATAGATGTGATATGAAGCACGGGAATTCATATTTTTAAAGAGTTTCTAAACATGTTTGCAATCGGTATTTCAGGTCTAATTTGTAGTATTATGACCGTAACAAATTCAAAAGATTTTTGTATATGATAAAGATCAAACAAGAATTTTTTTAATGAGTTATCAGTGTAAAATATTTTTATATTAGCAATCAATCATATCTTTTAATAATATTATGTCAGTTGCTTATTTAATAAAATAAATCTGAATGTGGTTCTACAACTCAGAAGAAGGAAAAAATGACAATGATGTTGTTACAAAGCAGATGGTTTTAGAGACTGGTGTGCTGCAAATTGATGAAGTTAAGGGCTCTATTGATGCAAATGAAATGAAACCTCCAGATATCACTGTTCCACTCAAGTTGTTGAAGAAGAAAATCAAGGTTGAAAAAAAAATAAAGTCGTAGAATGTTATGTTATAATTTACGTTTTTAGTTTCTTACATTTTATATTTATGTTATTTATTTGTTATGAAGACTTTTTTGTAAGGGTAATAGTTTCTGGATTGAGTCTGTGTGTACTATGTTATTAGTTGTATGACTGATTCTACAATATGTCGTTCCCATGAGTTGGAGGAAATAAGATATTTGATTTACGGTTTCTTGGTTAATCATTCATATGTTTTAAAAAAATATCTTTTTTAACGACTCATGTTATTATTATTTTATTGAATACAAGTTTTTAACATAATGTATTCAAAGTTCCATTGTTGATGACTATTTTATATTGTTTAATTGGATACCAATTAAAATAGACCCGATAAAGAATGTTGTTTTATAAAAAACAATGAAATCCAGTTTTAAACATATTAATTTGTGTGTATACCTATTTAGGGGCCATAAACCATTTGGCTCATAATGTATGTCCAAAATTATAGTCTACGTACTTATTATTTTGTAAATTTTTGTAATGAAGAAAAAACTTTGTGCTTTTGGATTGTGAGTTGGGCAAACAAACTCTATTGAACCAACTTTGAAGTCAAGAAGATGTTAACTTAAATTTTTGACAACTATTGGACAAGAAATTCTCTAATCTTATTTTTTTCCGTTTAAAATATACTTTCTAATTATCAACTTTTTAAACTTGCTTTTATTATTAATGACTTTGATAACTACTTAACACAAAGTCTTTCATATTATAATTTTGTTATAACATGTAATAAAATTTTATTTTAAGATAAAATAAAATTTAATTAAAATATATCAAACAAAAAACAATATATAACTCGAATTGTCTCAATTTTTTAAAATAAATTATTTATTCAATATAAAGTTTATGTTGCAATGAATACGAAAATTGAATATTATTTTTGCACTTTAGTTCTCTTTATAAATAAAATAGCTGTCGTAATTATTAAAAATTGGGCCATTAATTAAATTGTATGCCAAAAAGTTCAATAATGATTTTCACGGACAAAATAATATTTAAATTTAGCCCAAATGCGAATTGTTTATTCTTTTTTTTACTTCCAGTATTTCCATAAATTAAAGTAATAATAATTGCTGAACACCTTCTTATCGAGGTCAGCACTGTACTTTGTTTGTAGTATATTGGGGAAGGGAACCATGGCCCGTTCGATGCCCATAAAGCAGAGAGAAACAGTTGATTTCCTCATCACAGTTCATAGAAAGGACAAGGTACAAGTCTTAAATTTGTATTTTTAATTTAACTTTCATTGATTTATTCTATTGAAATAGCCATTTGGGATGGTCGCACAAGATTTTTGGATGGAATATAAACATCATCTAGGAAAATGGTGGACCTTGATCGACCAAGATGAAAATCGTCATTGTGTTCAAGTTGAAGGGGTTGGAGACATAGCCCTCATTACTGATAAGTGGCGAGAACTACGACAATTTTATGGACTTATGGAGAACCATTTCATCATTTTATGTTATATAGGCTTAAGTGATTTTCAAATAACAGTTTGGAAAAAATCATGCAGATCTGGTTTTAGAGACTGGTGTGCTGCAAATTGATGAAGTTAAGGGCTCTATTGATGCAAATGAAATGAAACCTCCAGATATCACTGTTCCACTCAAGTTGTTGAAGAAGAAATTATAGTATAAAAAATTTTACACTCACGGTGTATGATTAACTTTTCTTTTATTAAAAAGATTATCTGATAACATGTGAGCGAAACATTATTATTGAAGATGTTATATACCTGACAAAGTAACAACGTCTTTGAGATCGAGGCCAACGTTATTAAACTTTGAAACGATGGTATCTAGTGAGTCAAATGGAGAAGGAATTGAAACATTAGCCAGTGTCCCGTTTGATATTAATCCATCTCTTCGTCCTAGCTGAACATACCAAAAGGGACCCCCACTCTGCAAAACATGAGTAATAACCTTAGTAAAAATAAATAAATCATAAATAAACACAAACCCAATTAATAGGGAGATTTATGAATTATCAATATTTAAGCATTGAACATACAAGGAGGACAGAATCTCTGGCTGCTATGGCTAATATATCAGCACAGGACACAACTCCATTACAAGCACTCTCCACTGAACTTTTGATTCTGTCTATAACTTCAAATCCTCTAGCAGAATTCAGGTTAGGAGTAGCAAATTTCTCACTTTCTTCGCCTCCATCCAGCAGAACTGAACCATCACAACCCTGAGGCCCAAATATATTAATTAGATAAACAATAATCTTTTTGGAAAAAAAAAAAGGAGTTAACAAACAATTCGTGTTAGATAAATTAACTTCTACACAAGGTAAAAAATAGTTAAGAATTCTCCAACGGTTTTGTTTATAGAAGTTACAATTTTTTTACTATTAGAGTAAATGATGTGAAGTTCCTTATATGTTGTTTATACAAAATTGGTTGCTTAACTACTTTTCAATAATAAAATAAATAAAAAAGATTGAGATAAATTAACGTTCAACAAAAGAGAACACATTAATTCTAAGTAAATAACTACCATATGGACTTACATTAACAAAGCAATCATGGAAGTGAAGACGAAGCAAAGAAGCACCCATTCGCATCTCATTTCTCAGAGCATTTTGTACCTCTCTCCTAACTATTCTGAAAACATCAGGGCATGTTGTCCTATAAAAATCAGGGGTCAATTGGGACCTTACACCCACACTCAAAATGAACAAATTCATAAGCCAAAAATATGCATTAGAGGATCTATTCATTGTCACTTTGTTGTTATCAACACGCAAAGTTTGTAGCAAACACACCTATAACAATGGCTCTATTTATAGCCAATATGTTGCTTAGTGCTGGTTGCATCAAACTTATCGTATTCGAACTATGATTTCATTGTGAAAAAAGATGATAGACAGATGTTTGAATACTAGCGATCACATGTTCATTTGAAAATGGTTAATGAATTGATGCCACGTACTCTACTTGTGAAAAATGTAAGCCTCCTATTCAAGTTTGTGTTGAGATAAACATAATCGATTTCGATTTGCAACAACTATGGAGCACTATGAAGTTGTGCACGCATTAGGAATTTATAATTGTTATTTTATTTCATTTTTTGACATCTACTCACTCAAAATACAAGGTTGACATGCTAAATAATTATTCATGCGTGGTGGGGCATAAGCATTTTTTAGTTTTATTTTTATTTTTTATAAGAGGGTAAGAAAGTTGATAATGTTAAAAATGTTTATAGTGTAGCTTGGTTGCTGGACCATCAAATTAACTGTAGTTGTACACGGACGGATCTACTCGAGATCAGTCGGCAGCTGCACCCACTAACTTTTTTTTTTTTTTTAAATCATTTTTATCATTTGTAAATATAATATATATTTATAATTAAAATTATTTTTATAATTTAAAATGTGACAAAAGAATTAATTTATATTATGAATATTGTCTATTAATTTATTTTAGTTTCATTATTTTCATTCTCTCAATTAGATTTTCTTTTTAATAATCGTGACATTATATAAAATATCAACCGTTAAAAATAATCATTAATCTAAGTCGGAGATCATAGAGACACACAAATTAGGTATTTTTTTTAGGAGGAATTCATTTATTCCAAGTCTAAGTTTACTTAGACTTATTTCATTCAATAATTCATGTTCTACATCAAATTTCAACGATCCAACCGTTAAACTTAAAGTTCTTAATGCATAGATCAAATCTGTAAATTTTAAAAAAAATTGAAAATTATTTGATACTTCATTTCATTAATTCAAATTGATAGATAATCATAAAATTATTTTATACATTGATTTGAATTAATGAAATGAAGAATCAAATAATTTTTAAATTTTTTAAAAATTTACAAATTTGATCTATGCATTAAAAACTTTAAATTCAATGATTGGATCGTTGAAATTTGATGTAGAATATGAATTATTGAACGAAATAAGTTTAAGTAGACTTACTCCTAGAATAAACGAATTTCTTCTGATTTTTTTAATATAATTTATTTATATTTAAAATTAAAATTCAAAACTTAAATAATATGATTAAAATACAAGTTCACTAGTGGAAAAAGGGGCTACTACGTCTCCTCATTTACGTCGGAAACTGGAACACCCGACGTTGTAAAAATGCGGTGGCAGTTCAGTAAATATAGAGGGGGAAATTTACGTCGGACATAGGGGGGTCCGACGTAAATTAGACAATTTACGTCAGACGGCTATGTAGCCGACGTAGATTATGTAATTTACGTCGGACCCCCATATGTCCGACGTAAATTTCCCCCCAAAACCTCCAACGTTCCATTTCTCTTCCCGCGCCTCCCATTGTTTACGAAAACTACTATTCTTCTTCTCTTATATTCTCTAAGTCTCCAACTGCCTTTGTTTCCACATTGCACGTTTCTAAGTCCCTAACAGTCTGCACATTACACGTTTGAGGTAATTTTGTTCTCTACGCAATTTTTTTTTTATTTTCTGTTATTTGTTCATCTGGAATGGGCCGTTCTGCAAGCAGAACGGGCTGTACTGCTTGCAGAATGACCGTTCTGCTTAAATTTTTTGTTTTGTAAATTGTTGATCTGGAACGGACCATTCTGGTTTCAGTACGGGCCGTTCCAAATGCATTAAAGATGGACTTTTTTAGGCATATGTATTTGGTTATTCACAGGCATCATGCTGTAGTCTTCTTTTGTTTTGATTTGGTACTGTTTACTTACTTCATGTTTAGTCTCTCTTTAGGGTTAGTTATATTTTTCTTTTTTTGATAGAAGATATCATGTTGTCTCGTAAACATGAAAATCTTTTAACTTCTAATCATATTCCTTCTAAATATGTCGTTCCCATGAGTTGGAGGAAATAAGATATTTGATTTACGGTTTCTTGGTTAATCATTCATATGTTTTAAAAAAATATCTTTTTTAACGACTCATGTTATTATTATTTTATTGAATACAAGTTTTTAACATAATGTATTCAAAGTTCCATTGTTGATGACTATTTTATATTGTTTAATTGGATACCAATTAAAATAGACCCGATAAAGAATGTTGTTTTATAAAAAACAATGAAATCCAGTTTTAAACATATTAATTTGTGTGTATACCTATTTAGGGGCCATAAACCATTTGGCTCATAATGTATGTCCAAAATTATAGTCTACGTACTTATTATTTTGTAAATTTTTGTAATGAAGAAAAAACTTTGTGCTTTTGGATTGTGAGTTGGGCAAACAAACTCTATTGAACCAACTTTGAAGTCAAGAAGATGTTAACTTAAATTTTTGACAACTATTGGACAAGAAATTCTCTAATCTTATTTTTTTCCGTTTAAAATATACTTTCTAATTATCAACTTTTTAAACTTGCTTTTATTATTAATGACTTTGATAACTACTTAACACAAAGTCTTTCATATTATAATTTTGTTATAACATGTAATAAAATTTTATTTTAAGATAAAATAAAATTTAATTAAAATATATCAAACAAAAAACAATATATAACTCGAATTGTCTCAATTTTTTAAAATAAATTATTTATTCAATATAAAGTTTATGTTGCAATGAATACGAAAATTGAATATTATTTTTGCACTTTAGTTCTCTTTATAAATAAAATAGCTGTCGTAATTATTAAAAATTGGGCCATTAATTAAATTGTATGCCAAAAAGTTCAATAATGATTTTCACGGACAAAATAATATTTAAATTTAGCCCAAATGCGAATTGTTTATTCTTTTTTTTACTTCCAGTATTTCCATAAATTAAAGTAATAATAATTGCTGAACACCTTCTTATCGAGGTCAGCACTGTACTTTGTTTGTAGTATATTGGGGAAGGGAACCATGGCCCGTTCGATGCCCATAAAGCAGAGAGAAACAGTTGATTTCCTCATCACAGTTCATAGAAAGGACAAGGTACAAGTCTTAAATTTGTATTTTTAATTTAACTTTCATTGATTTATTCTATTGAAATAGCCATTTGGGATGGTCGCACAAGATTTTTGGATGGAATATAAACATCATCTAGGAAAATGGTGGACCTTGATCGACCAAGATGAAAATCGTCATTGTGTTCAAGTTGAAGGGGTTGGAGACATAGCCCTCATTACTGATAAGTGGCGAGAACTACGACAATTTTATGGACTTATGGAGAACCATTTCATCATTTTATGTTATATAGGCTTAAGTGATTTTCAAATAACAGTTTGGAAAAAATCATGCAGATCTATGGTGTCTTCAACTAAGAAAGAAATTCCACCTATAGTCCCTTGCTTGCCGATCTAAGGTTTGATGTATGCATTATGGATGAAACTGATTAAACAACTCTTAACAATATGATTATTTGTTTCTTTTGTTTATTTTATAGGACACGTGATACTTATCGCCGTGTTCATTATTTACAATACTTAGCAAACTTATGCATTACTATTTTCTCCCTTTTTTCATTTTCTATTTGAATCCTACTAATATATAATATGTATTTACATGTTAACCTAATGCAGATTGTTTTAGGTAATACCTTATTTTCTTGCATTTGTAAATGAAATGGGTTTGGCATTGTTCGGATTAATTGCAGCAGTTGGGAGGGAACTGACAGTGGCTGAACACTTGGGATCGTCTACATTGTTCATCCTTTTTGGTATGAGTGGTTTTGTCCTATCAAAAGGTATTGTGGTTACTAAACAAAACAATCTCAGTCCTTCCATTAACTTCCTATTTAGGGGCCATAAACCATTTGGCTCATAATGTATGTCCAAAATTATAGTCTACGTACTTATTATTTTGTAAATTTTTGTAATGAAGAAAAAACTTTGTGCTTTTGGATTGTGAGTTGGGCAAACAAACTCTATTGAACCAACTTTGAAGTCAAGAAGATGTTAACTTAAATTTTTGACAACTATTGGACAAGAAATTCTCTAATCTTATTTTTTTCCGTTTAAAATATACTTTCTAATTATCAACTTTTTAAACTTGCTTTTATTATTAATGACTTTGATAACTACTTAACACAAAGTCTTTCATATTATAATTTTGTTATAACATGTAATAAAATTTTATTTTAAGATAAAATAAAATTTAATTAAAATATATCAAACAAAAAACAATATATAACTCGAATTGTCTCAATTTTTTAAAATAAATTATTTATTCAATATAAAGTTTATGTTGCAATGAATACGAAAATTGAATATTATTTTTGCACTTTAGTTCTCTTTATAAATAAAATAGCTGTCGTAATTATTAAAAATTGGGCCATTAATTAAATTGTATGCCAAAAAGTTCAATAATGATTTTCACGGACAAAATAATATTTAAATTTAGCCCAAATGCGAATTGTTTATTCTTTTTTTTACTTCCAGTATTTCCATAAATTAAAGTAATAATAATTGCTGAACACCTTCTTATCGAGGTCAGCACTGTACTTTGTTTGTAGTATATTGGGGAAGGGAACCATGGCCCGTTCGATGCCCATAAAGCAGAGAGAAACAGTTGATTTCCTCATCACATCTTTTTTACTTTATTTATCTATTAAGTTAATTCGTTGTTTTAATAATGAGAGTTTAATTTTTTTCAGGATTATGGAGGATTCAGGGTCTGCAGTGGAAGGAAGGTAGATCTGTCACCCGATTGTTTGGGTTGACAGCTGCCATGGCCCGTTCGATGCCCATAAAGCAGAGAGAAACAGTTGATTTCCTCATCACAGTTCATAGAAAGGACAAGGTACAAGTCTTAAATTTGTATTTTTAATT